CGGTCGGATTCGAACCGACGTCTTCTTGCATACCGTGCCAGACGCTAACACGAAATTCGTGAGGTCCGTTGGTTCGTTCCGTGGCTTAGTTGGTATAGCGTCTGGCACGGTATGCAAGAAGACGTCGGTTCGAATCCGACCGGATCGAAGGAATTTTTTCTGAGTGCTTTTTCTGAGTGTTCGATCTTTGTATTAATAATTATAACAAACTAGTGGAGTAATTTCACAAAAAAATAATTGAATATCAATTCAATAAAAATTTAATTAACAAAAATAATTTATTTCGAAGAACAACCCGTTTACAAAGATCGAAGCACGCTGAAAACCCAGTGCTGAGCGACTTCTGCCGCTCGGTAAATGCTGAGATTGTCCCGCCCACACAAATAATTTGTGTTAATTTGTGTATTTCAAATAGTCTTTTTAAAGTACAGTATTTGATTAATGTGTATGTAAATAAATGTTTTACAGGAAATACTGAACGAGACTGACATCCCCGAGAAAGATCTCGTGCGCGCCCTGCAGTCACTAGCGATGGGCAAACCCACACAACGCGTACTCATTAAGCACCCCAAGACGAAGGAGATCGAGTCCTCGCATCAGTTTTACGTGAACGATGCCTTCACATCTAAGCTGCACAGGTATTTTTAATAATAACTGCATGTGTAGAACGTAGACATTTTCGTTGTTGTTTACATAGAGTTTGGAACGACATAAAAAAAGGATATTCTCTCCGAAAAGGTTTTTCGATTGGCGGCAGTGGCGTGATCGGCAATACATACATTTTCAGGTGTTTAAAAAAACATTACAACTTTGTTTAAAACAAACCTTTGTATTCATTTTCACCGTTTTAGACCCTTCTACCTTATATTTTGGTAGGTATGTAGGTAGTGTTACTAAAAATCAATTTGTAAAATGTTTGTATAAAACAATCACAAACAAAAATGTAGTATGAATAGGATGTACGTAGACAGGAACTTAATTGATAAATTTTACAGAAATATTGTATTGAAATGTAGTAAATAATGAACCAAGAAGCCGATACTTCATTAAAATTAAACAAATTTTCGCTACACGGCATTTACTCCGGTCATGTTCATTGACTGGCGGCGGCGGCGCGGCGCTCATCTCTAGGTATCACAATCAACGCGTGGGAGTGTTGCACCCATACCGTTGCTCCTTTATTTAGTGATATACATACAGAAATTAAACGCCTGCAACTAACACGACTCTGCCAAAGTTTTGGAAGGCCCCCAAATGTTCATACATAATCATCATGACGTTACTGTACCTGAACATGTTGTTATTATATTATTATACTAAATATTTATTATTTTCTTAAAAAAAAAAGATCCTCATCCCTATTTGTTAACGAAGACGTTTTTTCCGCATACTTTTACCGTTATTCTTCTATCATCACGTTTTGCGTTCCAGAGTAAAAATCCAAACAGTGGCAGCTAAGGGTGAGTCTGAGCCGGAGCGGCGCGAAACCCGCAACAAAGTAGACGAGGACCGCAAGCACGAGATCGAGGCTGCCATCGTGCGCATTATGAAAGCTAGGAAGAAAATGGCGGTAAGAACAAACCGATCAGTCTTCATATTGACTTAGTCTTTTTTAAGGATGTCCTCAACAGGTTGAACAATTACCAAATAAAAAATATCTGTTGAAACAAGGCTTGTGGCGTAGAGTACCAATCTTCTACAAAGACCTGTGCGAAAAAACTGGTGACAAAAGTTTATAAACATAAACGTTTGTCAGATTACCCTTTCAGGGTTAGGAGACGACTTACAACTTTGGACCTGTATCCAATTTGTAAACTCAAATATGCTCCCTATTAAACACACCTGCTTGGTCATCTATTTGCGACTATTTTGTTGTTTTTTTGTGCAGCACCCGCTGTTAGTAGCGGAAGTGACCGAACAGCTGCGCGTACGCTTCCTGCCGTCACCCGTGGTGATCAAGAAACGCATAGAAGGTCTCATCGAGCGAGAGTACCTCGCGCGCTCGCCTGACGACCGCAAAGTCTACACTTACGTCGCATAGGTTCGTAGCGAGCGCTCCGCCACGATACTCCAGACTCTGTAAACCTGCTTTAGTTATCTACTTAATGTTTTGTTGTGAACATAGGAAACGCAATCGCGCGCTGATTCACATATCCCTATCGCCCTCAGTGATCATGATAAATATAATATCACTTGCACATTTACCTATCAGATTGTTTGTATTCCGTTTGAGCGATGACATTTGCGCATGAGTATTGAAAATATAAATTCGTTTGCAGTGTTAGAAATAGTACAGCGCGGATTAGTTTTCTATCATTAAATAAAAGCAACTAGGATTATTTAATTAAATGGTCATATACAAATATTGATCTACTAATTTTAATGTAAAAAATAATGTAAATAGGAGTATAGAGTTAGTTTGATGATTCATTCAGAGTGTATTATGATAGTGTTCCTCATTTCCTGAATACAGATATATTAAAAACCTCTTTGTAAATCGTCTCGTTTCATTAGCACATATTTAGACCCCTTAGTAACGTGGATCGATTTCATTTCAGGCCATCACAGACTACTTCATTAAGGGTGGATGCCAAGTTAGGTAACAAAAGTATTTAAATTATTTCAAAATAAAAATTATTAGTATTTACCAAAAGTATTTTATTTGTTACTGAAAACTGTAACACTAGTAATAATGACAAATAATAAATGGAATTCAAATGTAAATACACAAGCTTTACTGGAAGGGAATGGAAAGAAAAAGTCTTTTGGCAAATGAATGTTCAACTGTGGACCGCCAGCGTATTCGTATGTACTTGGTTTTGTTTCATCAATAAACATAGTGTCGACGCTAACGACTGTAGACATATCGTCCAAGTTGAACGTCACGTTGCGCGCAGTTATGTCTAATTTTGCAGTTAGTATCCTGTTCTCTCTTTCGGTATCCTCTTCAGAAGCATCGACATAGGCAAAAATATAAGAGATTCCAATTATGAGATTGTAACACTTTAAAGTCTTTTGTTTGTTAAAACTCCCGTATAATGGACGTTCGATTTTGGCTACTTTTAATGGTATCCACTCCTCATCTTTAACATTTTGAGGATTTCCATAAGGAGACACAACCACTTTTTTGTTCAAGCCAAGTATCTTCGTAATGTAGTTTTGTACGTCCCTACATAATTCTGTATCGTTTCTAATCTTGTTACGTGTGAGAAAATATCTACACTTAATTCTTCTGTTTTGCCCAAATAGCACAAAGTTGTCTGTTATATTTGACATTACACATATTCCATGTTTATTTTCTGGATGCAATAAATATTTCTGAATCGTTGAAGTATTGTAAAATGTGTTAGTATAATTGTTTTGATTATACGATACTATGACTGGCAAATTGTTGATATATCCTGGATTACCGCTGAACTTAATGATTGTATCAACTGATTCATTTGTTAGAACAAACCTTACATTCACCTCTTGATCTATGAATGGTACATTTAAGGATATAGTTTGAGTAAATAATGTTAAGGTCGCATTTGTAATCCTCGATTCGTAATAGTAGAATGTATAAAGCACTCTTTGTGCTATGTTTGTGCAGACATTTTCTGTGCATAGTGGCTCATGCAAACTCTTATTATAATTTTTGCAATTTTTGTCATCGCAAATTATGACTGTCCACTTGGTGCAGTGCAGCGTAGAGCAGTTCTGAAAAGAATGAAGAATTCTTTATTTCAGATTAAACAAAATCTAATATAGAACCAGGCAGCCTTATTGCCAAGTAGCAAAAGACCATATTATCAAGACATTTTACTAACTGATCTTTTAAAATGTTTTAAAGAAATAACTAGCTTTTATAGGAAACAACTTACCAACGTAGTAGTGCTATTTGCTAATTTGTCTGTAACACTAACTATAGAAGAATCCGCAGCTATGCTCAATGTGTGAAATATTTCAAGATCAGTTAGCTTAACATTACAAATTATTTTTTCATTACTTAAGAACTTCATTATTTTCCTATGCGAGCAATAGCTATTTAAACTCTGTGCTGGAAGATCTGAAAGAAACAAAGTTACATACCAGACATCTTTGTCTAAAATAATGTTTACTTGGTGTATATGAAACTCAATTATGGCCAAATGTGCAATTTCATCTAGCTATTTGGTTATTTTTTATAAAAGCCCATCTTGTTATTTGGTTATTTTTTATTAGAGCCTATCTCATGTTTATCCACAACCCCACATGATGGAAAGTGAAGATGTAGTACAAGGAGGGTAAACGTTCGCGTACAAGATGCCTGTTTATTTCTAATGAACATTTCAAATTCTAACCAATGTAAACAATTGATCCATTTTTGATGAGCCAAACAGGGTCACCAGCCTCGTACGGTTTTCTTGAAAATTCATGAGCTATTTCGGATTTTGCATTAGAATGCCATTTGAAAGCACTATCTATTACAGATTCATCATGCTGAAATGCAAGCTTTATTAGTTGTAGGAGTTATAGCCTGAATATGGTAAAAGAAATAGTATGTGGAAGATATATTCAGTAACAATGCAATTACTAATATCAATTTCCTATAATGAGTACCTCTAAGCGATTTAGTTTTCGTTTATCTGGCAAATTTGTTTTCGCAATACAAAATAAGCGGGAAAGTCCTGTGTCCATCAGATAACTGCTGAAAGAAAGGTGGGAGATGCACCCATCTTCATCTTGTTTGGTTTTGGAAGAACCGTCGACGCATTTGAATATTTTACGATCGTCATCTGTACACTCACTGTCGCAGCAACAGTTGATGTCACAGACTTGGTACTGTAAAAAAGGGACAACTGAGGTCTGGGCTCTCTGGTATTATGAAGATTTCATTTCTTCGACCATTAGGTCAATGTCTTCGACTTGACGACATTGACGCATCACCGCTCCAGATTCAAAATAAAAATTATTTTTAGTTGTAGAACAGGAAAGCTTTTGCAAAGCCTTGCCAAAACATGTTTGTGTTACTACTTTTAAACTTGTTTACCCAAATTTCGGTAAAATGCTTATTGGGTCTGGCTACACTTAATACTTTGAAAGGATTTCTTGTATGTGGAGTAAATGAGAGCTTTCTTTCTTTTATAGGCAGCTATAATACTTACTAGTAAATTGCAACTACAATATGTAACCGTTTTCTTTGGCTTAATAAGTGGCTTGATTGTGGTTGCATTTTTTATTCCAAATATCGTAATTTCAGTTACATTATCAAACTCAGTGCTTGTCAATAGAGACTCTGTTGCTGTTGCATATGCGTCTTCAGTTGTGGAAGAATTCTCATCATATAGCAAATCAATTATGGTGCTTGAAATCTCTGTTGAAGTTTCCAAAGACTCCAGAAATGAAGCATTGCTATAGGTCTTTGTGCTTGGAATTTTTCTCTCTAAATTAATCTGTGAACGGTAATACAAAGCATGTGGTTTCTGACCATAATGCTTTAATATATCATTAAAGTGAGTCTTTGCACTGCTTGCATTTACATCAGATGTTACATCTTTATTATCAACCCTTATTTTCTCTTGAATAAAATCCATAACTGCAAAATTTATAACTATGGAGAAAAGTGTAAAAGCAAGATATGTTATGACTTTCATTTTCACTTATATTCTACACCAAACTGGCAGAAATTTCTTAAGATAATATCTATTTGTAACTTAATATTGCCTTTTGACTGAGTGTGCAATTTATATCTGCAAAGAAAGTATTATATTATAGTCTACATGATTACACTTTTTAAAATCAGGAAATATAAATTTACAAATTTACCTATCTTTTCCTAAATTAACAATATCACTTTCAATAAGTTGATGAGATCCACCAAGGAAATATTGACGTATTCTATCTGTCAGAGTAGTAGCAACAGGAGCCCAGCAAGGCACTTGAATGATATGGTGCCCAGGAACAGAAGGCAAGCTACAACAACTGTAGCCGACCACCCATGAGCGACCAATTGAATCTAAACAACTTACTTGAAGAACCAACTTTGGCCAACCTGAAAATCAGATAATTAAAAAGTTAGCATAGGTGGCAACAGAAGCAAGCAGGAATGAAAGAATAAAAAGAACACAATAGCAAGCACTTTAAAAGGGATACGCGTAATGTTATAGGACCCAACATATATGTTGGAATAAAATCAATATATACCTTGAATGCCTCTAGTTACGTAATGAATATCTATTGGATGTGACCAAACAACACCTTTGTCGTAGTCCGTTTTTCCACAAATTGTTTGCCCTTCAGGACATCCAGATATCACCGTCCAGTTAGGACCTTATACAAAAAATAATAATCATGTTTTTGATTATAGAAAAACTAATAATAAAAGAAATTACGAAAGGACTTTAAAAAACTATTTTGACATACAATGTCTGAACCATATAGTTTTTACCCGTATATATTTTCTAATACTCACCAGACTGAAAAGAATATCTGCAAAATAGTGACGACGAATCTTGAAAGCGAGATACTCCTTGTAACTGCCCAAGTATGTGCAATTCTGCCATCAGATAAAACCTTTCGTTTTACTTATAATAAACTACGTACTGTCTACATGATAATTTACTACTTTTACGTAACGAAATTTCGCAAAACCTTTAATGTTGATATTTTCGGTGTCCGTTTCCATGGTTACGGATTACGGATCAATTTTTTTTTTTTTAATTTATTAAGGCTTTGGCAAAGCCATCAGCCTAAACATGAAGTTTGTGTCTGTAAATATGGCCGCCACAAAGAGGATAGGCAATTTGAGGCGGCGTGTTTGGATTGACTCGGGATTCCTTAAAACGGGCCGATACGGATATTTTAGTTCGAAATTCATATAATTTCGCTTTTTAATCTTCGATTAAGGCACAATAGCACTATCCTATTCCACTTTAAACTAGATTTCACAAAATAATTGAAAGTCAAAATAAAAACGACACTTTTCCCTCCAAAAGGTCCAGAGCGAATCTTTCTTTACGGATCAATGACAGTTTGATATTGCCATAAAAATTTCATGCTTTATTTCAGTTTAATTTCGTACGCAAATGTAACCACGCTAAAGTACCTACATGTAAAACCAACCGATTCGTTAATTCAAGGAAAAAGAAAAAAAAAATCACACTGGCGCAGAGTCGAAGCGTTGCGTCACGTCCCGTCGCACAGTGTGACTTAGGGTACTTGAAAATTAAACAACCCCTTTTATAAATATAATGATGGATATTGATTTTACTCACCAATACAATCATAAACAGTTATGTGGATTTTTTCGATTGACACATTGACACAGTAATTTTATAGTTATATGGCTCTGAATTTTTTTTTGTATGGAGAAAAAGTGAAATTGGGGTATATCTCTGAAATCTCAATTTTTTTCAAAAAATAATGTATTGATCCATGCAGTTGGAGTCTCCAATTACCATAAAATATATACCTGCACTTGCGGTTCAGTGCGAGTTTTGTAATATAACGATCTGGGTTGAAAATGTTATAAATTATAAAAAAAAATCTATTCCACACCCATGGTGTAAAGAAGTAGGGCGCATTTGTCATAGTTTCATCCTCAGTATATTTATTGTGATACATTGACTTATTAAATTCTTTTGTTGTATATTATTATTAAAAATAAAACTTCCCTAGAAATAGAAAAAGTATTATAATCATGCTAAGAAGTTCCAAAATTCAAATAGGAATAACAAAGCACTAAATAAAATCAAAGAATCGTGGTGTATAATAAATTAACAAACCAAGCAGAACAAAAATTTGACAGAAACATATCGAGTTTAAAAGATGACGACAGACGATGATGACGACTGATAGACAATACCCAAATAGCAAACGCTTTTAATAATTTCTTTCAACAATTGCATTTCAAATATCGGCAAGTTTATCTAAGCTTTTGTCAATATCGACAGATGTTGAAGTCGAAAGTAACATGTTTTTGAAAGAAGAGAAAGACCCTGTTCCATTTTTAAATTGCCAACAATTGATATACGAGAATTGCTCAAAACTGTAAAACAAAGCCAGTAGACTTTGCTTTACAGTAATTTGTTTTAGTAAAAGATATTAAACAACTTAGATATAAAAACATCTTCAACATCTTATATTGGAAGTGCTGAACAATTGTTTACAACAAGGCGTATTTCCAAATGAATTAAAAATGGGGCGAGTGATATATGTCTTCAAGAAAGGAGAAAAACACAATCGGAACAACAACAATAGACCAATTTGTATACCACCATGCAAGTCAAAATTTTTTTGATAATTATCAAGAACAGAATGGTGGACTATTTTGGGTCAGAATCAATCTACATGGACAAGCAGTATGGATTTGGAACTGGTCGATCAACAACAGGTGCTATAACAAATGTTACCGATTATGATTGTCATAAATGCTCAAGTGTCTTTTGCGACCTGTCTAAGGCGTTTGATTGTTTACGACATGATACTCGTATTTATATTGCTTGACAAATTAAAGTTCTATGGTGTCCACTCTAATGCATTGCAGCTTATTGACAGCTGTTTAAAAAAATCTATACTAAATACTAAATTGTAAGGAGATATTGTTTGACGATTGTGTGATTAGACAATTACGTGACATTTTTTATAGGCTAAGTTATGGAGTGTTATAAAGGATCCACAAATTGTACCTTGACATGTTAAATGTTGCGTGATGTGACTTGGTGAAAAAATATATTGTTATAGAATAGCTAGTTTTTATTTACACTAGGAATTATATTATAAATTAATAAAATATATTTTAAATTATTCGGTCTCAAGCTCAGGCTGTACGGTCCTCATATTATATGGCAAATCAACATTAACAAAATCGAAATTTTGCAATTATGTGTCATCATCAAAAGATTCTGATAAAATGATTAAATCTTTTGCTTCATCTGACAGTTGTCTATGTTTCCGTAGCAATTTAATTCGTTTCTTTGAAATATATGGGTCCGAACTAATTAATAAATTATTAAGAATGTCTTGATTGGTTGCTTTTCTATTGAATTTTCTAGAATGGTCTAAGCGATATCGTCTAAAGTCCTTGTTTCGGGATTCGGATGCTTCTTCAGATAATTTTCCAATTGGAATTAGGCTGAAACTGGCAATTATGTCTGCTCCATAGGCAAGTAGTTTATGCACGCTTGAAGGCGTGTAATACCATTTACATAGATCTATTCATCAACTTCATAGTTACTTCAGCATATTCTTTAAATTTTGTTATATTTATTGTTTGTCCCGAAGAAATGACTTGCTATTTGGCTTACCAAAGAAAACAACGTCTGGTGAAAAAATACAATTAATCAATTAAATTTTACTGTGAAATGTTGATGATGCAATCTTTAAACTTAAAAAAAAATATGAAATTAGCAAATATAAGCGTTACAAGTGTTTTGTGTGTCATTCAGCTTAAAACTTTTACTAATTATTGTACGTCAAATGTGAACGGGAAACAAATGAAAATGATTTGCAATAAAATGTTGCACTTTGAAATACGTAAGTCAATGTACGTAACGGTCTTTTTTAACGTGTGCGCCGCCAGGCCGAACGTGGATTGACTCCGACGACGCATAGAGAACATTAGCGACGACGTTTTGACGCTGTCTGAGGGTCGTATTCCAGAACTCTACTCAATGCTCAAGTCAGGTCTTGAGTATGATTCAAAGCACTAGAAATCATACTCAAGTCCTTGCCATTAGGGTAGTATTTCCTGTGCTTGAAATCATACTCAAGTCTGCTCAAATTCTGACTTGAGCATTACAGTAAGCACTGAAAATCATACTCAAGTCCTTGCCATTAGGGTCGTATTTCCAGTGCTTGAAATCATACTCAAGTCTGCTCAAATCCTAGGGTATTCTAGAACTCTACTCAATGCTCAAGTCAGGATTGCAATGGAAACACAAGCACTGGAAATACGACGCTAATGACAACGACTTGTGTATGATTTTCAGTACTCACAGCAATACTCAAGTCAGGATTGCACTGGCAACACAAGCACTGGAAATAAGACCCTAATGGCAGGGACTTGAGTATGATTTCGAGTGCTTTAAACCATGCTCAAGTCCTGATTTGAGCATTGAGTAGAGTTCTGGAATGTGACCCTCAGAGCCGGTTGCCGGTTTCGATGTTTTACCGCGCCTTCCCTTTCCTGCATCTCCGACATCCTATCGAAAGTGCAACGTAGGCTGCCATAGATTTAACCAATTTGTCTATGGTAAATCATGGTTTTAATTCTTTATAATTTATTATTATTTAAAAATAGGATATATTTGTTGCAGATAATATTTGTGTTAATTTTTAATAATGTTAAATTTGATAAAAACGATTTATCCTAAAATTAAATGAATAACGTTGTAACGTTCCGTTACAACTCAACATAACCCGCACCAGGGAAACCCTGTGTCGCGGGTGCCACGGACACACACATAGACAACCACGTATTACACCCAAACTCACGAGAGAAACAAATGTAGGCCATACAAATATTTCTCCCGGCCCGGGAATCGAACCTGGAACCTCTGCGTTAGACCTGTGTCGGTCGATAATTTTTGATAACCCGGGTCGATCATGACCCATGCGTAATGTGTCATGCTGCCACCGCCGCTCCGTAGTCTGCAATCAGTGCACACGTTCCGCGGCAGTTCCAAATTCGCCGCAGCGAAGATATGGCATGTATTGCTGCCGCCGCCGCTCCGTAGTCTGCAATCAGTGCACACGTTTAAAAGCAAATACGAAAAATATCTTTTAGACATTAAAAAAAAACGTATAAATTTACATGGGCACTTACGCACTGTTATTCGACTTATGGCATTGGTGTACGGCGGTCATCGTCATCATTGTTATGCTTGCGGGATAGGCCACGCGATGTAAATAATAAATTTGATTGTTTATTTTTCCTCAAAAATGTTATTAATTAT